AAAAAAAAAAAAAAAAAAAGCAACACAAGAATAAAGAAAGGGGAAGTCAGCATTCTGAATCACAGAGCAGTAAAACTGTTGTCACCAGCAATGACGTCACTCATCTTCAAGGTCCTGAAAGCCTATTAGAAATTAGCTTCAGGGAGAAATATCTTCTAACTTGTCACTGGTTCCAGAAGGCAATCAGTGTTAAACAAACACAGGCCCCTTTTTGGAACCTATATAATAAACTCAGACACATTAATCTCTACTCACGTCTCTAGTCAGGGTTTGACCCCTAACTCTTTTGGCTTTAATGGAAGGAAGTAAGGGCCAGCTGACATTAGCTAACAGAAGTTGGTGTAAAGGTTCAGATATACCTATAAGCAAATAAATATCCTTTCTTAACTTTCTTAAACTCTTCTCCATGATACAAGATTGCATTATAGTCTCTGTGTGTCCTAACAGTATTTGCTTAATCACAACATTTGACTTAAAAGAAGGCAGAGAGAGAAAAGAGGTCAGCTTCTGTTTGGCCTGGATGTCTTGGTCCATGGACAAAGCACTGGCCCTAAACAGTCAAAAGCCCTGGGTGATATCCCTGCTTTTGCCACTGAAAATTTGTATGACCTAAAACACTTCACCTTATTTCTCTAGGTCTCACTTGCTTCATGCGTACAATGAGAGGACCTTCCCTCCCAACTATGAAAATCCAGTAAGCATGAGATAAGGTGAAAGAAACCAATGTACTTGGCAGATTCTGCCAAATAAATGAGATGACAGTATTTTATAAGAGAACGTCATTCTTGAGTAGAGAACAAGGTATACAAGGATGTCATATCACTCGGCTGTATTCTTAGAAATATTAGAAAGAGTGCACATTAAAGAAATAAATGTGTATCCATGGTTATGAATAAAACTACTTTGATGCAACTGGCAAAGTAAAATGAATAAAATAATCCCTTTGGAAAACATAACTTATGAATTGAGAAAACTAGACAAGATACTAGAAATTTGCCAGCCAGCACCTCTCAATTCTTATTTAATTAGTGACACCTCTTGGGTGCTTCTGGGAAAGATAGTGAGGTAAGCATAGTTCTTCAAGGGCTATCTCCCATCCTGGGTTCCACTTGAAAGGAATGACAAATGACAACCTATATATGTGTGTATGTTTACACACATACCTATACACACATTTACCCAGATTTTGAACAGTAACTCATAGTGTTAAAAAGTAGGGGGCAGGCACAGTGGCTCACACCTGTAATCCCAGTGCTTTCGGAGGCCAAGGTGGGCCGATCACGAGGTCAGGAGTTTGAGACCAGTCTGACCAACATGGTGAAACCCCATCTCTACTAAAAATAGAAAAATTAGCCAGGTATGGTGGTGCTTGCCTATAATCCCAGCTACTCATGAGGCTGAGGCAGGAGAATTGCATGAACCCGGGAGGCAGAGGTTGTAGTGAGCCAAGATCACGCCACTGCACTCCAGCCTGGGTGACAGAACAAGATTCCATCTCAAAAAAAAAAAAAAGTAGGAAAAGTTATTATCCCATGCCAGAAACATAAAAACACTCCTGCTTAATATTGTGTAGATCATGCCACATTAAAGGAAGACTGAGTGGGAACTTGTAACTTGCCTTCCTGAGAAAAATCCAAGTGTCATGAATAAAGAGCACCGGGTCACCTGGAACAGCACTAAGAGACCTGAGCTTTTGTGCCGTGGTCACAAGTCGCTGTAGCAGCTACAGCCCTTACGTCTCAGATTCAAACCCAGTTGAGGAAAAAGTGATGACTTCTTCCCAAGCATCTCAGCAAAAATATCTCCCTCTATCCTCTTAGCTCTGACTGTGACATGTGCCATCTTAACAGCCAGAGAAACGTGTGGCTTACTTTAGGCCTGGGCACCCTTGAGCCAGAGTAAATAGGGAGGGAGGCCTATGTGGAGCATATTGGCTATGAGTTAAGGAGAGGTGATTCCTTAGAAATCTTTATACAGTTTCAGTACAAAGATGTACAATCACCTATCAATGTGGTTTTGATTTGCATTTCTCTAATGACCAGTGATGATGAGCTTTTTTTCATGTTTGTTGGCTGCATAAATGTCTTCTTTTGAAAAGTGTCCGTTCATATCCTTCGCCTACTTTTTGATGGGGTTGTTGTGAAAAGAAGGGAAATTTTTAAAAAAGAAAATACAAAGTAAACAATACCTTAGTTCAGTGATGAGGTAGATTTAGCATGCCCCTGCTGCTTGACTGTTGATTTTAGGAATTCATTTGCCTCTGCCATTGTCTCTTCTTGCTCTTCTGTAACACTACCTGCCACAGTAGCTAAGCTGACTTCATCTGATTTGTGTAGACCTCATCCAGTACTCGCTTGTTCTTGGAACTGTGGCTTCTACAACCTGTCCCGCCTGTCCTCCTCGATGTTGGAACCAGGCCTCCAAAAGCAGTTGAAGGACCACCCTACCGCAGTATACCAACACATTACTGGGTTTTTGAGGCCTCTCGCTTTCCCAGTGGCTGCCCCCGCTAGGAAGAATGCCTTTATATATCCAGAAAGGAAGCTAGGACTCTCTTTGGCCTCTGAGTCCCGAAAGCTTTCATAGACTCTGTCCACTTTGCCCAGACCCAGGATACTAAACACGGTGAGGCTACATAGGGTGTAAAGTGTGGGAAGGATGGGTGGCAGCCTCAGCACTGGCTGCAGAGTGCTCAGTTGACCCTGCCTAGCAGCCTGGTCTTCCAGGAGAAGCAAAGGAAAGCCACAGTACAGTTGGTGGGGAGGGCTGCGTTTATTCCTCGAAGTTTCATGTTACCTTATTACACAACTCAGATGGTTTGTTTTTAACGGTCTGCTTGTCTTGTTTCATTTAACCTATACAAATTGCTAACATCCTTTGAGCAGATTTCTCTCCAAGAATTGAATGTTTCTTTGTCAGGTCATACAGCATATTTGACAATAATCGCCAGGATCCCACAGGGCTGACAGCTGCTCTTCAGGCAACTGACCTGGCTGGAGTTCTTCACATGCTCTACTGTGTCCTGTTCCATGGCACCATCTTGGACCCTAGCACTGCCAGTCCCAAGGAGAGTTACGCCCAGAACACCATCCAAGTGGCCATTCACAGTTTACGTTTCTTCAACAGCTTTGCAGCACTTGATCTGCCTGCTTTTCAGGTACCAAGTATTGGTTTGTATCAATGGTAACCAACCAAGAGTTAATATTTTAGTGTAGATGGGATGTCAGGTTCTTCTCCTGAATTGGGGCATAAGGAATAAACTATAATAAATGGAATTATAATGTATTAAGCCACTGTTTTCTGGGAACCGTATCAGATGCTCTACATCATCTAGTGTTCTCATTTATTCTCATAGCTACTATGCAAAATATTATTATCCCCATTTTACAGACAGAGAAGCTGACGGGTATGTAATTTGCCCAGGGTTACCTGTTTGTGAACCAGGACTAGTAACCATGGCTCTCCCACCCCAAAGCATGTGTTCTTCCTTTGCCATGCTGCTATTTATATATCTTTTGATTGGAATTCTTCAGATCAGGACATTATCATTTCATCAGCTTTTAAATATTAAGGAAAGTTTTTTATATAAATAGAACCAAAATTAGATAAATTAGTTCATTGATATGACTTTCTGTGGATGGTTTCGCTGATTTGTGTCCAATGTAAAGTGTATGACTAGCTAAATATAAAGGTCCCTTTACAAGGATTTGCATCTTTAGCTGTTAAGTTTTTATAGCTAAAGAAAAGAATTGCTTTATGCTATAACACCAGGCTGTCAGCTTAGAAACAGATTTTTTTTTCATGTAGGAAATTTAATTTTCAAAAACACTGGACCTTTGGAACAGAGCAAGCCCCAAGGAATAGACTTTCTCTTTCAGTTTATTAACTGTCAAGTGATTTCATTAAAAAAGGAACAAACTTGGCAGATGATGAACCCATAATTTAGATGAATTGCTTTGCTCAGAGGAAAAAAGGTTATAGAGATACAAATGTATGAAAATAGTGGACTTTACCATTCTGAGATGGAAGGAATACTTCTATTTTGTAGCTGATGACAAATGTACAGTTCTTTAGTTGATGTCTTCCTGTCATTTTGTTCAAAAAAGGAAATTTGTGACTAAGTTGTATCATTGGATCTAGTACATTTCAGCTCTCTAGAATTAGTTTATCTGTTACAAGAACAGAAATCCCTTTGGGTTAATGCTTTTCTGTTTCCAGAGCAGTTGAACTAGCCTTAGGTGGTAACTGACTGCACAGTATGTCGAGTTCTGGGAGGTTACAGCCACATCTAAACGGAGAGGTATCTGCTCCAAAAAATGTCAGTGGTTCTTGCCTCAGGGTTAAACATAACATCTGTGTTTTTATGAAGACCTAAGCCCACCATATTCTGTCTGGAAACAGTTTGGAAATGAGGGAAACTTAACTTTACATGTTCAGGATATGGAGTCCACCAGTCTACCCATCAGCTGGGCCCAAAGGGAGTGATTTCCTTTGTTAACAGATTACGGAAAAGCAAACATCTACAAACTGTCTCTTAGCTTCCACTTTCACGGGTCTTGTTGACCAAGATTTATACTGCTGCAGGGTACTCCACATCAGAAACAAGCTTCTAGGATAAGTCAGCTGTTCTGTCAGTCACCCTTGTCAGGGAGCCCCAGGTCCCTGCTCCCTGCCCCTCTCCTCCTGTGAACTTATGTCCTGCCCAGGCGAACTCACAAAAGAGTATCACTGAACTTCAGCCAGACCTGCTTCCTAGTGGCCTTTAAGCCTAAAGGGTTTAATAATGGGTGATAATGTTAGAAAAATCAAAAGGCTATTTCTGGAACCCTTTGTGCCCAACTAAGATAAAAATAAATATGTCTTCTTTCCAGATCCTTGCTGTATCCAGCTTGAAATGTATCCCCTACTTGAGCCGCTTTTCCCAAAGCAGCAGGAATAAAACCAGAGTGGCTCAAGGGTGTTCAACTACTCTCAAAATCAGTGTCTCTAGGGATAAAAAGAAATGAAATCACAAAATAAATAAAAAACAGTTATTCTCAAAATCAAATCAGGCTTTCAGTTGGAATGCTCTTTCTTGGCTGGTCCTCACAGTTCACTAGTACCTTTTCTTCTTTTTTCTTACGCAACTATTTCCTTCTCAGTTCTTTCCTTCCTGTTTTTTCTTCTTCTTTGTCTCTCTCCTGTCTCTCCTATCTTCTTTTTTTTATCAGTCTTGCCATTTACTCTTTCTCATTCTGTCCCTAGCCATAGTTTCTGGGTACCCTTTACCCTTCATGTTTCTTTCTGACCCCTCGTCAGCATGAGGGGACCTAAATGCCCAGAATTTCTAGCATCAGGGCCTTTACCACATTTACCAATGACATGTTTTTGTTTTGTTTTGTTTTTTTCATTTTTTCTTACCCTTAAACAACCAAATCTCAATTTTTCGCTTAATTACTTATATGCATTTAAAAACAAACAGATAAACGTAGTGAGGGGAAACAATTATTTCTGATCACAGATTCTAGAAGTTCAGAATTCAGATAGGGCTTATCACAGTGGAAATGGCTTGTCTCTGCCCTCTGCTCCGTGATATCATGGCTACAGCTAGATGCTGAAATCACCTGGAGGCTCTTTACTCTCACATTTGATGCCTGAGATGGCCCAAAGACAGGATTCACCTAAGACTGGTGGCCAGAGCATCTACCTGCTGCTTCTCCATGTGACTTGGGCTTTTTAAAACACTATGGTGTCTTGATTCTGAGTGGGAGAGTCCTAAGAGGAAGCTTCCGAAAAGCAGGTGTTCCAAGAGAAACCAACGGAAGCTGCAGGACTTTTTATGACGTAGCCTCAGAAGTCACATACTTACCTATGAGCCATAATTTATTGGTTGAATCAGTCCTAAGCCTTTCATATTCAAGGGGAGGGAAACAGGCCTCACCAGCTAAAGCAACACATCTGTCTGTATAGACACCACTGATGTAGATGAACATGATCGAGAATATAATGCTTAAAAGTAAATTAAACACATAGTATTTGTACTGTATAGCCATGGCTGGGTTTTCCAGAAAAGCACTATTTCTGTGATAGTTATGTAAGAGAAACTCATGTTCTAGTTCATCAAAACAATTTCACATGTCAAAAGTGAGATTTTAAGAACTGCGTATGTAAAGGACAGGATAAGAGATTTTAAGTGGAAAGAAGGAAGGTATACATCTCAGCATGATCTGACCTCAGGAAAATCTGAGAGACAATCTGTGAATTGCCTGGGAGGCTCAGAGGAACTGGAGAAAGAACTGAAGTGAGATAAATGATCTGACGTGCCGAAGAGTTAGACAAGATGATATAAGACATGTTGATGATTTGGGTTCAAATACATGACAAGAATACAGAGCTGTTACAGGGAGGCGTCCTCATTAGACCCCTGGATCTGGAGTCAGAATGACCTGACTTTGAGCCATTGGTAATGTCATCACCAATGTGATGACATTACCTCTTCAAATTGTATGACCTTAGATAAGTCATTTGAACACTTAAGACTCCATTTCCTCATCTGTAAAATAGAGATAAGTAACACCTACCTCCCAAGACTATTTGAGGATTAAATATGATTGCATAAAAGTGCTATGCTAGCTAGCACATAGTAGGCCCTCAGATAATGTGAACTGACTCAGTTTCTAAAAAGAAGAATTTACCTAAACCGTCTTGAAGATGCTGAGTCAGAAAGCTGGAAACTGAATGCAGCATTCCCAATGCTCCTTTGCCCTTCTGCAAAGCCACAAACCTGTGTGCTTATTTTGTGTGAGAAGCCATCATGTAATAGTACAAAGGGTTATCCATGAAAGTATTTTCTTAGCTGGTTCCATTTCATTGTATACCAATAAGGCTGTCAAAATATTTTTCTCTTTTCAGCAAACAGTCTGATTTCACTCTGAATTCATGTTGGCATGGGTGGCCTTGAGATCGGGGATATTGTATATTGCATTCAGTTTGACAGTTTTTACAATGGAAGGTGGTCTCAGGAAACAAATCAATGTACTGACTTGGCAATTAATTCTGGCTAAAAAGGAAATATAGTTTCCTTGAAAAATTGGTTTAATTTTTATATTCAAACTTACATGCCCCTTGACCTGCTCTTATCAGTGAAGGTTAAACAGAGGGCACTGGGTCATACCATGCTGGACGTGACTAATTAAATGAAGGCTGAGCTGAGAAGGTGTCACTACTTGATTTAAAGGAGCAAAGCCCTTCTGAAGTCTCTTTGGGGCTTGAAAAATATTTTTGTTTGTTTGTTTTGGGGCTGTGAAACTGAGATAAGGGGTACTCTTAAAATTTAGCAGTAATTTTGTTTCAGGAATGCTCACTAAAATGGCTCTGTTTCACCCACTGTTAAGTAAAGTGAATTCATTGAAACTTCCAAGCTGCAACATATCCAACCTGGTTCAAGCTCACTAAGACCTCAACTCAAGAGAGGAGTTTAAAACACTGCCTTTTCCCACAGCCCAGCAGTGGGGCTTCATTCCAGCGTGTGCTGCGAGTGTATTCTGTGGGCTTCGCCTCTCCCCTTTGCCCTCCTGTCGCTCTGTCTGTTTGACATGTTTATTAAATAGAAGCTGCAGGCTGCACAGACAGACTCAGACTCTCTTCTTGAGTCGCCCACCGCCGACAGCCCTTTGCCTCTCTGGAGAAAGGATCCCTGAAGTCGCATAGCTGAGGGGTTTCATGGTTTTAGGGAGAATTTTTTGCTTTGTTTTTTTACATTCTTTTGGGAGCCTTTGGTTTATAGAACTACTTATTTGAATAATAACTGGTTGTTATTTATGTTTTTATTTGTTTAAAGATAAATAATTAGAAATGTATGTTTAACTCTGTATACAAGAAAGTATTTTCTCCTTCAGAAAAAAAAGTGTTGAAAGTCATCTAAGTGGTAAATTTACAGGTGAATTTTAGCTTTTTATACTTTTACAAATTTTCTACGGTAAGAATATTTGTGTGTGAGAAAAACTGTTATTAAAAATAGAATAAATAACTGTGTTTTAGGTAGATAATGTCTTGATCCATGTGATACAGGCATTTGGTCTGCTGCTGTCCTTTTTCAGGTTAAACATTGCACTTATTATGGTCATTTATTAGAACAAGAATCCCTAAACCAAAGTGTCCAGCGTAGTACTGTAGAAATGTCTTCTGTTTCGGCCAGCACTGCGGCAGAAAGTGCACAGGGCCAGTTTGGCTTTGTGATTTGCAGCCCTGGCTCTCCCTGGGCTGAGGACTTCTAACTGCTCCTTGTCTTTGTCAGTCTATTGTAGGGGCAGAGGGCTTGTCCCTTGCATTCCGGCACATGGCCAGCTCCCTGCTAGGCCATTGCAGCCAAGTCTCCTGTGAAAGCCTCCTTCATGAGGTCATCGTCTGTGTGGGCTACTTCACTGTCAACCACCCAGATAACCAGGTAAGAGGCCCTGGAAAGTTCTTAGACTGCTCCCCGCAGTGCTGAGAGTGTGAGGTATTGGAATGAGAAAAGGCAGGCTAGCGGGCTGGAACCCAAATGTCTTCTGTAAGCCCTTTAACCACACTCCAGGAACATGTCTCCAGCTCCTTCTCTTCCAATAGATTTTTTTTTCTTTTGGAGACAGAGTCTTGCTCTGTCGCCCAGGCTGGAGTTCAGTGGTGCAATCTCAGCTCACTGCAACCTCTGCCTCCCAGGTTCAACTGATTCTCCTGCCTCAGCCTCCCAAGTTAGTGGGATTTCAGGCACCTGCCACCACACCCGGCTAATTTTTGTATTTTTGATGGAGATGGGATTTTGCCATGTTGGTCAGTCTGGTCTCAAACTCCTGACCTCAGGTGATCCGCCCACCCCGACCTCCCAAAGTGCTGGGATTACAGACGTGAGCCACCACACCTGGCCCTCTTCAAACAGATTTGATAAGAATTAGATTAGCAGTAGGGTTTCCTCTTAGAGCTATAAAAATAAAATATTTTTAATAATTCTTAAGCCACACAGAAGCATGTACTCCCTTACCATGTAGATTCTTTACTATCTACTTCATTACCACATGGAGTCTGCTGCGGTAGCCATCAGGGTTTTTGTTTTGACTGGGGAGCTTACATCTTTCAAGTTGGGTCACTTTGCATATAGTAGTAGAGTCTGGTGCTTTATGAAACTCTTCTTGGCTCCTGGCTTCTGCCTAGGTGCTCACAGTCTTCCAGATGGTGTTGGATGGGAGGCTGAGAGGACAGGACTCTCCCTCCTAGATCACTCAGAGTAGTTTTGCTTTAAACTGCTTTGATTATTTGGTTTCTGAGCAGGATTTCATAGATTTTTAAAAATATGTTTCATAGATTTAATTTGAAAATAGGTTTCTGCCTTTTTTTTTTTTTTTTTTTTTGAGGCTTGGTCTTGTT